GAGTTTGCGCGACTGAACGGTTTCAGGTAACTATCTGAGAGGCTGGCGCATGCATGTGGATAAGAACATAGACATCGCGACGTCAAGCTGCTGATCGCTGACAAAGTTTGAGGGATGCGATTTGGGAAGTCTAAAGTTTCAAATAACGGCAAAGACTGATAAACAGCAGAATGGTGCCGTTAGTGCGTTCAGCCTTACTTCCAGGGTAAACAAGAAGTCGGTGACTCACCGAGACTATAGACAACATCGCACCCAGTCTTCATCAAGAGAAGGATTGCTAGGTGGGGGTTCGGTGGGCTGATAAAATCGATAAACTCGCTAGACATAGCTAACTCACACGTACATCAGGGGGATCTACTAGACTTACCCCCTACTAACAAGATAAAACAGGCCATGGTCAACATCATCAACAGAGGGGACGATTGCATGAGGTTAGCGATCAGGTCAGCCTTGTTTCCAGCCGGCGTTAATTCAAACAGGCCTTCTAGCTATCCCCAAGAAGATGGGCTCATATGGGCTGGTATGCGAACCCACCCCCATATCCCAGGTCACCAAAATCGAGAAACAGAATGATATAGCCGTAACGTCTTTGGAGCAACGAAGGCAACAAAACAATATGCACAGGATCAGCCCAATGGAACAACCTGATCAATATATTCATGATCCAGCCGGGTGATAAGTATCACTAGCGTGGATAAAACACTTCAGCAGGCTGTTGGACCAATCGAGATATGAGGGAAAACACACTTTGTGAGCGATGCCTACGCTTCATGAGCTGGTTTATTAGAATCCCACTGAGAGGATTGCCTAGGCGTGGGCAGAGGGCCATTACATCCATGTCCAAGGAAGGCGACAATATCCTAAAATTGACAACCACAAGAACCAGATGTCAGTACCTTACATCATCTACCCCGACTCCAGAAGCCTTGATCAAAACCGTTGACATCGGCCCGACCCCAACACATACAAAAGCGCAGGAGCACGAGGCCTGTGGGTTCGGGGTACGATCGATGTGATGGGGAAAGCTAATGCTCCCGTTGTGTACAGGGGTCCCAGACGGCTGAAAAGTTTCTAAAGTGCTTGCAGCACGAAGAGAAAACCATCAGGATGAACAAGACCAATTATGACCAAGCGATCACTATCACGGCTGCAACTCACTGCAGCCCACTGTACCTGGCGATTGTGAGAGATCACTGCCATGGGTAGTGAGGCTGCAACCTCACTCAGAATCAACCCAAAGCGATCAACATCCCTGTGGTCTTCCACAACTTAAAGTTCGACTCAATTGATCATGCAGGCCATCGCGAAAGTCGGCGGCAACCTCAGCATCCCCAACAACATGGAGAGATACATCAGGCCTGAGGATAGACTCAGTTCAGTTGCTACTGTCGTCTCTCTCGATAGTTTGGTCAAAGCCAACGATACCTTCCCCATCACTGATCGACACACCGACCTCTAGTACATGGATGGCTTGGCCAAGTTCGCAGTGACCCGACTACCCCCATGGAGAATTTACAGCAAAACGACAATCACCCAAGACGGACCGGAAGCTGGTCCGGTCTAAAGAGGAAGACAAGCTCAGGAGACTGATTGCCAGCCCGGCATTCAACCGGAGCAAGATATTCACCGACGATCTGGTGGCCCTACACATGAGGAAGAGCCACATCAAGTTCAACCGGCCCGTCTACGTTGGGATGAGCATACTCGACCTCTCCAAGCACCTGATGTACGACTTCTACTACAATGAGCTCAAGAAGCAGTACGGCGACAGGTGCGATGTGGTGTACACGGACACGGACTCCCTGCTGATAGAGATTCGAACCGAAGATGTGTACGAGGACATGGCAAAACACATCCATTTATACGACACCAGTGACTACCCCAGGGACCATGCCATGCACACCCCAGGGACCATGCCATGCACAGCACGGTTAACAAAAAGGTCCTCAGTAAGATGAAGGACGAGTGTGGCCGGCACGCCGATTGCCGAGTACATAGGCTTGAGGCCTAAGATGTACTCTATCCTGAAGGCCGACAACGGTGAGATCCGAAAGGCGAAGGGTGTCAAGAAGTACGTGGTGAAACAACACATCAAACACGCCAGATTCAAGGAAGCCCTGTTCAAGACCTGCACCTTCAGGCATCAGATGAACACGCTGAGAAGCGATGGACACAAGATATACGGACTGACAATAAACAAGACGTCCCTATCACCGATGGACACGAAGTGTTGGATAGCCATCAACGGGATCAACACGTACGTGTACGGGCATGAGAAAATTGAACCAAAGACATAGCCGTATGTATACGATGTCACGGAAAGAGAGAAAATTTGAGGCTATTTACTACAGCCCGGGTGGGTACTGGAAAGGAGCAAGTGCCATACACAAGCTTGCCAAAATGGGGAGAGTATCCCCGAACGAGACCAAATCGTGGCTGGAAAAACAAGCCCTGTGGCAGATCTACCTACCGGCACCACGCTACGTGCCTCGAAGAAAGCGTCCACCAGGCCAACCTACTGTTCCTACCCCACGACAAGAGATACAAGTATGCCCTAACCGTCGTGGACGTGGCCAGCCGCTACAAAGAAGCCGAACCCTTAACCGCGAAAGACTCGGCCCAGGTAGCCCGCGGATTCGAACGCATATACAAGCGCAGCCCGCTGACATGGCCCTCCGAACTTCAAGTCGATCCCGGACGGGAGTTCATGGGTGCCATGTCACAACTGCTAGCCAAGCACGGCGTCCATGTCAGGCGTGACGCGGCCGGGGCTCATCGCAGTCAAACCATAGTTGAGAGATTCAATAGGACTTTGGCTGAGCGCTTATTCGGGCATCAGTATGCGAGAGAGATGGCCAACCCAGGAAAACAATCGACGGAATGGGTAGCGCGGCTACCTCAAGTGGTGTCGGCTATCAACCACGAAACCACTCGGCTCACCGGCAAGAAACCGGCAGACGCTATCAAACTGAAATCAGTGACGGCCGAACCGGCTGCACAATTGTGTGGGAAGGAGAAACAGATACCCGACCGGGTCCTAGTGAGGTATCTCTACCAGCCGAGAGAACATGAAGGGGACACTCGGAAACGAGCCACCGACCCGACATGGTCAGTCAAAACTTACAACATAGATAAAGTGGACATCAAAGCCGACGAGCTGAACTTGTACTACTTGAAAGATGGGCCAGAGAGAGGTTTTGTTAGAGAGGAATTATTGATCATACCATACGACACAATGTTACCCCAAGCAAAATATTTAACACTTACCTTACCAAGTAATCCAATAGTATCCTGTAACCAACTGTTTCCTCGAGGTCAACACAACATAGTGTCACATGATCAGGAAAGTGTTGGTTCGCGGTCATAGTGACCAGGAAGTTAACTGGGGGTTCAAATCTGGTATATACAATAGCGGAGAGAGATAAGGGCCTGACAAAAGCTTTATTTCATAAATGAAGCTTTACAGAGGCTTTTGTTGGACTTGATCTCGTACCGCTGTTGTGTATACTACTAGGCTTCTTTTACTCCTATAATGACAGTGTCTATACTGAACAAACAACGTTGTACCAAGGTAAATTAGAAACATCTTCAGCAATAATGCAAGAGAAATTCACTAAGGGACCGTTCATAATTAATGGCTGGGGGAAAGATGATTTTATGGAGAAGCATGTACAATGAGAGATTGAGAGAGACACACACACACAGAGTAAAATTTACATACAGAGTAAGTGACCCCCACCCCCCACGTCATGTACAAACTCAATGTGACCCCCGCTTCCCATAATTTTTAAGCATATTAAGCATAATATTGTCATGTACAAAATAAATGACCCCCCTGCCTCCCCAGAACAAAATGGATGACACCCCCCACACAAATTATAAAAAAATATCATCATCACCTCTCCCAGCCCCACCACTAGCCAAAAATTATGAACAGCCCCTAACTAGAGTCTCAGTATTACCATAAACTGGTAATCAACTTAAAACAGAGATCAGACTTGCACATGTTAATAGTGGATGGGAAGGGAGATACTATAAAGTCACAGCTTATTATGTATTGCTATAAAGAGAATTCAGTTGGTAAAATTGAAAATATTTATGAATATATTAATTGAAGATAGACAAAATACAAAACAGAGGCAATCAGTAATAGACTGACTGAGTTTAGTTTTACGCTGCTTTTAGCAATATTCCAGCAATATCACGGCGGGGGACACCAGAAATGGGCTTCACAATCAGTAATAGAGGTTTTGAAACCACAGGAATTATTCAATGAACACTATTTATAACCTGACTGTGCAACATCAGAAATAACTTGCATACATCTCTATCTATCTAAATGATATTTCCAGGGTTACATGCTCAGGGTAATCTCTTTGCTAGAAACATGAATAAATCATGAAATTGTAAGCATGTTTCATAATTTGATCTCTGTTGGCCTTATATGTCACCCAAAAGTTGAAGTGACAGACAGACTGCCTTTACTCAAGTTATCCCGTACAGTAAGTTTGTTGATGTGGAGTTCGTACTGAGTGACCTTGACTTCATGATCCCATGTCACAAAAGGTCCCTTGCACATAAGAGGTATACCATGTATGAAGTCACTAACACCTCATACCTGGGTGGTTGTGAAAACCAATTGTAATTGATGGGCTCAAATTCAAGCAAACACAAAACTCAGCCTCTCTTACAAGAACTTCTGGCAGTCAAGTGTTCAAAAAAACAGACTCAAAATGTAAAAGATCAGTTTTTGTCTGAATAGCTAAAACTAGTGAAGGTGCTTTGACCTAAGCACACTTCTAATAATAGTTGGAGTGAGTTTCAAAAGCATAGGTCTACTTGAGAAAACTGTTATGGGGTTCACTTTATGTCTATGTTACTTATGTTAGAAAATTGCTAGATTAGTAATGACATCTATTATCAATTATTATCTTGTAAATAGATTTTCTTGTACTTGTGGAAAATAGATGTAATGTGCAAAGTTGTATATCCAGACCCACCATCTTGTCTGAAAGCCAACCCTAAAGTAGCAGGGGCTTGGGCTCGAGCTGTTGCTCCTGTGAAGCCATAGTCTCCAAGTGTCTTGTGGTCGTCCGTGAGGGGCTGAGAACACACAAGATGAGTGACATATAGTTGGCTTTCCCCGGAAAGTTAGTAAATGTTACTAAAAGCCGCATTAGTAATTTTGCTGCTATTCACAACTTCTTTTCCAGGAAGGATAAATTTATGGTGTGTTATACTAGTAGAAGCAACTTTAATGATTGGCACCTTATTTACGGAAATAGATGCAACATTTGAGGGCAGATGCTAACAGTGTTATCAAGCAAGTGATACACAACATTATCTGTGCTCTTACAATGCTGAATAGGTATGAAGCCAGATAATGGTGTTATCTCCACTGAAACATTACATCTGTTGCAATAAAGAAGTAGTCAATCCATAAAACTTGTTCCTCTTTGTCATACCAGCTACTGACCGATGAATTGCAAATTTTATCATTGTACAAAATTGCCACATAAATATAAATAGTACACATGATTATCATTTACTAATACCCAACAGCTTTCTTATATTTGAAAATTTTCCGGACTCCACTAAAAAAGTTGTTTAAGAAACTATCATCATTGAAAACGCAAAAGTTGTTATCTGTCGCGGCGGGGTGAAACCGCAGAAACGGAACAGCCAGTCATGGCGGGGACATCTCAAAATCTATTCCGCAGACCTGTCGGTTCCTCGTCTGTCGTAGTGTCATAGTCACGACTTAAAGGGATGACAAGTGGTGCCACAGTTGCCTGTTGTAAGCCATCCCGAGACCAGTAACCTTGTTCAATGACGTAAGCTACCTTGTTGACACACTTTTGCCAAGTTTCAGTCGTGATTTTGTTAAGGGATTCCTTAACCAAAACCTCTACGTCACGTAATCTAAAAGTTGTGTTTGATCTGGCGACATCTCCTTTGACAATACCCCATATCATTTCAACGGGGTTAAGGTCACAGTGATAGGGTGGAAGTCGCAGAATATCGTGACCCTTACTTATTATGTAACTGTCAACTTTGTGGAAAGGTTCACCTTTGTGTGTTTTTATGATCTCATATAGCTAAGGCTTTGTTGCCTTTGAAGGCCGTGCGATCTGAAATTTGTCGAGCCATGATATCATATCACCTTTTCGACTGTTCGATATCGGGGCTTTACTGTCGGGGTCCTGCATGCTGTGGTATGGGGCATTGTCCATTACGATAAAAGACTTCTCTGGTAGAGCTGGTACCAACTTGTTTTTAACCCAATCGAGGAAAACCGCACCATTCATCTCGGAATGGTAGTCTCTGTTATCTGTGGACTTTGCCCTGAATACGAAGTCGCAGCCTGGGAGAAAGCCTTTGCTGGAGCAACCAGCATGGAGAATGATTAGTCTCTGTCCTTTCCCTAGAGGCAGCTTTCTATGTGACCCCTTATCACAACCATCGGGTACCCACTGACTGCTGGCAGTGTGCAAGGCATTGACCCAGGTCTCGTCTAAGTACACTGCCTCGAACCCTTCCTCGCGCTTCTTCTTTATAACCCTGAGAAAATTATTTCTCAAGCGAACGATATCAGGGCGTTCACAGAGTACTGAGCTATTCTCCCCGAAATTTTCTTATAACGAAACCGAAGAGTGTAAGAGTAAGCCAGAGTGTGTACTTTGATACTCTGAGGTTGTGTTCTTGCTTCAAATGCTTTTTTAAAATTGTCATCGACATGTATTTGTTTTCAGAATAGAGCTTGTTGATAGACTGCCTTACAAGGTTCTGTTGAAAGTTGTCCAAATGTTTTAATTTGTGCGATTTTGACACGACCCCTACCTGCTTCGCATCACCCTCACAATGTTTATGTTCCAGGAACATTTGTCAGTACCCTTGCTGATACTCCTAAAGCTTTTGCTGCCAGCTTACGGAATTTATTAATGGCATAAACTGGTTTGCCCCTTTCGGCTTCAGCACGGAAAAAATCGTACACTTTAATCATCAACTGTTTCACATCAGCATTCAACTTCATTTTTCATCAGGCATGTGTATCCCGTGCACGACGAGATAGTGGCTGTTCCGTTTCTGCAGTTTCACCCCGCCGCGACAGATAACAACTTTTGCGTTTTCAATGGTGATAGTTTCTTAAACAACTTTTTGGGTGGAGTCCGGAAAATTTTCAAATATGAGGAAGCTGTTGGGTATTAGTAAATGATAAACATGTGTACTATTTATATTTATGTGGCAATTTTGTACAATGATAAAATTTGCAATTCATCGGTCCGTTTCTGACTCAAACGGACTGTAAATGCCACTTAAAAAGGATGTTACATTTGTAACTTGTTCAGGTTGTGCCGAGATCCAAACCTAATTATGTCAGCTGTCATCAGTTTGTTAAAATACAATACATACAGCATGTACAGACATGAATATTTCTTGTACGAGTGTTCAATAAAATCTTATTTCAATGGGAAAATGTCTCAATAAAAACCTTTTGTGTTCAACCAAAGTCATATTCAAGACAATGCTTCAACATAACCTGCACTCAGCAATCTTCAATGAGAGGGAGGCCTGTATGCATTGTTTATTATTTCATCTTTAATAGACGAAACCATTTCCACATACTTTTCCTATTAAAAAATGCCATACTCATGGTAGACAAAAATAGAACCACAAGGCTCAGTAGCTCACTTGACTTATGACCTTACAATTGTATAACACTTCAACTTTAATTCAATTCAAATATCAATCTACAAAAGGGAAAAAGTGAACAAGGTCATTGATGGAACCTCATACAAGATAAAAACAGCCCAAAAACCAAAGGTACCAGTTCACCACAAGACTTGTGTGATGTGCAGCTGTGAAAGCCAGCACCACTTTTCTCGAGTATCCACTGATGAATCCTTAAACTGAGAGATGGAATGTCAGAAGGTTTGGATGTAGTTGAGAGTATGATTGTTCTACATGGCCCTTTCTTTCATGTAGTCCATGTGGTTTCTTATACAGCTTTTCAATCATAACAGCAAGTGGCCAGGACAAAAAAAAGTCAGTTTGTTAAAACCATCAGTTTGTTATAAGCGTGTTTGTTGTAAGCATAGTTTACTGTATACATCATGTATCTTACAAACATTTATCTCTACGTACAGAGCCATTGCTAAACAAGAAAGATAAAACACATTTTCAAATTATCCATTACCTGATCATCTTTGAATAACTTCTGATTCTCAGGGCAAACCTTACAAATGCCTTCGATTATTTTCTTCACTTCTCCAAGAGATGTTGTTTCCTTTGCATCGGTAAAAACAGTGACCTTCTTCCTTCTAATCATCAAGAACACGTCCTGAAATAAAACATGTTTACATTACTCCTTTTTTTCAATCAAGAAATGGCTTTCATACTTCATAACAGAGCAAAGCATAATGTTATAAGCATCAAAATTTGTGAGCAATTTATGTGTAACCCATGAACTAAAATGCATAACAACATATATGCAAGTGTATCTATCACTGAAATTTACAAAATTGTCAGCAAATGACAACATGAAGACTGCTGACTTACAATTCCATGACAAAGAATAAGGTGATAACAGTTTAATTGTATACCACTGTATGCCCTAACCACATATGTAATCAAGGCTGGAAATTCAAAATTCGACATATACAAACATGACAGGTCAGATGTAACATGTCATATACAGTCAACTCTCGTTAATCTGACACTCGTGGTTGCAGAGAAATATGTCGGATTAACGAAAATGTCAGATTAATGTATTTGTGTGAAAATATCAATGTTTACTAAATGTCATGATTGTCATACTGTTGCATGCATATCAGAAATGGTCTAGTTATCTTCATCGTAGCTTGAAGCATTGGAATCAGTCGTAGAGACGCTCAACCACTAAACAGACTGCTTCAGGATGTCCGATACGGTTGATCACCCAATCTTCACATAAAACTTCTGCTCAGCAAAAGTGATGACTTGTTGTTGTGTTGTCTGGGGTTTGTCTTTCTTCAAAAGGAGATTTCTTTATTGATCAATGGCATAACTTCTACTCGGGCTCGCTTAGCAGGTGGTGATGTTTAAAAACTAAACATAAATACAGTTTTGAATGTATCGATAATTGTATCGTCATAGAATATACTATCAATGCATCGTGGCATCCCTACTGTTCAATAAGATTACCATCGACCACATGCAGTGGAGTACGTCCAGTAGGAGTTATCCCTCCCACCCTAAATCGGTTATGTATTGCCACAGTTGCATCTGTAATTCGCTCTCCATTGCGGCGACAAATCCTCTGCCAACCATCATGGATGGACAAATTGAATCTGTGAAGAGCACACGAGACCACTGACATTGATTCCATGATGTCTAGTCCATGGTGATGTGGTGTTAGTGGTGGACGAACTGCAGGTCGCCTACAGCGAAGTCTGGCTGCCCTTAAACATCTGCGAACAGTGCTCCTGGATATCCTTACATTGTTAACATTGAAGTGTTCTGTCTGAAGATCTGCTGCATTAAGGAATCTGCTCCTTAACACACTCTTAACTCACATTAAAGCGGACAGCAACCTGCCGCTGAGTTTGACACGATTAGAAAAAGCATATAGCCTGACCCCTTTCAGCAAGTGTCAAAAGACGTCTCATTTTATGCTGCAATTTTAAACAGGTACCTGAACAGTAAACGACAGTGAAAAAGCATCAATGCACGTGTATTGTCTTCCACTTTCCATGGATAGAGCGACTTGCAAATCGAGCTTCAGGTGGATTTCCAAATTGGCAATTTGAATAAATAATGTGCCATTTGTAACAGAAGTATCGGACGTTAAAGAACGTAATAGTGACATTTCAACAGCCTGATGTGTTTTTCCAACAGTGTTACCAACAGTTTGACCACCGATACGAAAAATATATTAAGTTATCCACAAATTAATGTAATAATGCATTCTAAAATCAAACAAGATAACTTTTTTATTGGAGTTCGACAAATACTAACAACACTGCATACAATATATAAATACCTACATTATACAAACACACAGAATCGGGGTAAATATTATATATTGCAAGTTAAGAAACCTTGAAAAGCTCTAAGCCAATCTGCGAAGTCGACATTAGAATTAGGAGAGACAGTTATTGCAAATCGAAATCGGTATAACACTTGGCGCGTATTATTCATAATACTTTAATATCAGACTTAGTATTAGATATTATAACCACTAGATAGACTGACTAGGCGTGATCACCATGTGTGATTGAGTATCGAAACAGCTTCTCGCAAATTCTAAAGAAACACAATTCTATGACCAGTCGATTTGCACATTATTGTAGGGAGTGAACCTTTCAGCTTGAAAAGATATCTGTTTCTACCACAATAGCTTAAATGATGAAAATATACACTTTACCATTATGGATTCCCTGTCTGGACAACAACAAACGCTAACAACCTCGTTCAATCTCGTAAAATCTCGTCTGGTTTCCTTCGGAAGTTTGTGTTTGTGTCCGTAATGTACCGATACAATCCGATTGTCGTCCAGTGGCGATGCCCGCTAGGTGGCAGGTCAAACTGGTTCTTCCACTGGTAGTCAACGTAAGCTGGGCCCCGTCTCGCATATCGCAATAGCTTTGTCGAACGTTAGCGCGCGCAAAGGGAGCCGGGAACCAGCTTATAGTCAACGCAGCTAGTTTCATCGTATTTTCACTGGGTTAGGTAGACAGGAATCCAGTCAACACAATGCGATGTCAAATGAAATGGGTTGTGTATACTATGTTCACTTGTGTAGCTTGGTCTAATACGATATAAAAAAGTATGTCATGACTTTGAAATCCAAACAAACTAATAATACCTTTGATGGGTAGACTGGCTCCCTGGGTATGCTGCGGTGGCGCTTCACTGACCCCGGCAAGGACTGGGCGACACGCCGTATATTTCTTTACTTTAAACAAATCCTAGAACGGATGGTTACACTTTTTTCTCAGCATTTTCATACTAAGTATGCGTGGCCAGAATAAGGCCCCTCGTTACCTTTCGATAAGAAAACCGCTATTTCAGCAGTTTCGAGACACGAAAGTTACAAGGGCGAAAAGTAACCAAATGCCATACATGCCTCCCCATTTTCAACATCGATATGTGCGTTAATATTTCGTGTCAACTCGCTAATGTCACGAAATTGTACGTACAACACATAGGACTGGACGACCACATTAAATGAATATCGCGAGCGTCTGTATTTTAGCAAATTTAGTATATTTCGAGGATTAAGTTGTTTGTTGGAAATAAACTGAACGCCTAGTATAATAACTAGAAAATAGTACATTTGATCCGTAATATTTAATGGTGTTCATTGGAGGTTGGTCTACTTGTTCACATGATAATGAAGATGATCAGCAACCATTACATTTTTACAAGCACACACATTGTTGAAAAGCACTGTCTTGAAAGTAATCAGTTAGTCTTCATTATTTATTAGATATCAAATTCATAATACATGGTTTTTCATATGAACAGAAATCCAGGGATCAAGTATAAGAAGCAATGCCAAATCAAATCATTAACAACTATATACATGTATTCATATGGCTCTAAACGTTTTCCCCACATATAACGATGGAAGATTCAGATACATGTAATTATAATCGGCAAAACTTCCACAGACTTTCCAGAAAGATATTACAAATAGAAATAAATGCTTTTCAGAATGTTATGTTTACACAGACACATTTAGAACATCAATAACACTGGTTTGAAAGATGTATCACAGATACTGCAAGACCGCCTCCGTGGTGTAGTGGTTAGAGCGTCCGCCCGGAGAGCGGAAGGTCGCGGGTTCGATCCCCGACCGCGTCATACCAAAAGACGTTAAAATATGGTACTTGTTGGTCCCTGCCTGGCGCTCGTCATTAATGGGTACATCAAGGACTGGTCGGCTCGGAGTCCGTATAATGTGTCTGAGTGGGTTATTCATGCTTCACTGCGGCATGGTATCTCAGTGGGCTAGCACTATAAAACCATCTTAAGTCTGGGCTAGTACAAGCAGCCGCACATACACACTCATGCACGTCGTCATATGAGCGAAATATTCTCAAGCACGACGTTAAACCCAATTTCACCTCACCTCACGCACACTTCAAATTCACTACGCTGGAACGCTCCGAAATTAGCAGAAAATTCAGTCAAGTTTATGAATATAGCTACGTGGCCAAGTAATGTTTTAATCGTTATTAGTTTCATAGGTTATAAGTTTCAATTTTAAGTACTTGTATATAGTTATTGTATGTTGTATAGGTGTCATATTTTAAGTTTACAGATAAAATATAACAAACCCTCTCAGTTAAATGTATCCCTGCACTTATGCAATTACTCAATTAACAATAGCCACCCTACTGGGTCAGGCCAGGTTCTGACCCATATACGCTTACACTCTGCACAAGCTTCTTTTGTCCCTCTGCCTCAGTTCCTCTGGTCAGCTTGCCACCTACTGTCTGTTTAGTTTTAAAGGTGGCTGTCACACATAACCTGTTGGCAGTCACATAGACTTTTCTGGAGGATCAGATCACTACGATTTGTGTTTTCGTGGAGCATTTCTGGATTGTAATGAGGATCTTATTATTCAGGTTAGTACATATATTGTATGGGTATATATGGTATTGTATATAGTGTATTTCTTAAAGAAGTGTTACATTAATGCATCGGTGTGTAGTTAAATGTATCTATTGTTTTCCAACCATCAATACAGTTGGTTCGATGTGTAATTTATCTAAATTATATCATTAAATATCAATTAGCTATTTACATTAAACATGGCGTAAGCGATAGGCAAATACCAGTCTAAGCCTAATTAAAACTAAATTATGACTTAACATATTGTCTAAATGTATAATCATATGAATGTGGTAAGAAATAGTGAGGGTGGATGTGAGATTTGTTGCTTTTATTATAACTTATTTTATATACCATTATTAATATTATCAAGGTTGTATTTTAACTTTTCTTAGAATACTCCATGATGATTGATGATCCCTCACTGCTATGAGAGCTTGTTTACACTCATTGCCACACAGTGGTAAGTGTATTTTATGATCTTGTATGTAATAAACTCTATATAGTTTCTTCGTGTCTATTTGTAATATATTCATTGAATGTCATAAATGATATATGTATGTATGAATAGTTTTCATGTTGCTATTTATATTTAAAGATGTATTTATGCTAGTACGTGCTTTGTCTGGGCTAGCTGTATTCTAAGGCTATATAGAAAGTGTAATACATGTATATGTAAGCCATGTTATACCTTTATGCTCAAATACCTTATGTTATATTTATGTATATTTTCAGAGTTATTCAAACATTCCTTTTTAATGGATAAATAAAGTGGCTGTCATCTGTGACCACAAGTAGCGTTGTGTTGTGTGCGCTCCACCCACCCACCAACATTCATCCATATCCGCTACTACAGCTATATAGTGAACAACTGTAACAATATAACCGACTGTGAAATTTGATATTTTGATATTGCTGTGTTTGAATATTGCATTAGTTTCGTTTTGAATGAGGATGTCTGGGTTTCATGTGGGAGTGGAGCGTCACTAATATCTGATATACTCATATCTAGGCTCCATTGTTTACAAGATGCATCGCATGGCAAGAGTATTGCTGGTTGAAGTGTTCATCAACAATCACTGCCCCTTTTCGCGTAAGTTCCACGAGGACTTGAGAATGGGTTCCTCCGAGTCTGTTGATATTTGCAACTACAGTGGTGTCATCGGTGACAGACCAGATGCCATCTTGTCTTCGTGTACGACGATGTCGGAGTTCTTCCACCATGCGGGGTCCTTGAACACTAGATCTGTAGGTACTATGACAGAGTCTAGCTGTTTCCGTTGACGCTGGTTCATCCAATACTGAAGGAATCTAAGATGAAACAGTCCACTATTGAGTATGCATCACTCAATTATTTCATTGTCATTTCCACAGTTAAATAGCCCAATCTCACTAGAAACACATTTATGCCCTCTTAATGTGTCCTACCATTTATATTCCCTTTGCTTTAACACTGTTCGGTTTGTTTTGTTAATGAGTACATGTAACAGGTGAACAGAAGTACCTTACAAGAACAGTTCAGCGCTCAGTCTAGACTTGTCACCCATCGACCCTGTAAAGACTTGTCACCCATCGACCCTGTCAAGACTTGTCACCCATCGACCCTGTCTCGGAAATCGTTGGACAGCGCAAACGTGGTCAGCAACAACAGACCACTCTCAACGAACTTGGCTCTAGGCGCTGCCCTGCAGAATGGGATGCAACGAAGTTGACTTTGGAAGTTTGAGTAGGAATAAATGTTGGTCGGATCCGGGATTGTCTTGAGAATATAGGCGGATTCAAGCGATATTAACGCGTTTTAAGTTTCATGGTACATAGCCTGACGGCCAGTAGGGCGCATTGGTCAGTTACCTTACAAAATCTAAGGTCATCTGACGTTCAACGACTCATGCAAACTTCAGTCAGACGTCCCTCTTACACTGCTGAAGTGCCGATTTCATTAAAGATAGAAACTTTTTATTGAATACCCCCTACCTTTTTGTTCTCTTGCAGTTTGTTTCATGCAGAATTACAGACTGGATTAACTATAGTGTTAGCATTGGTATACAAGCTCTTGCAAGAATAACATTAATATATAAACTTTGTTGACATTTTTTCTGGTTTCCTCATGTTCGATATCACTTTTCAAACAAAAATGCTAGATATGTTAATAGTAACTGCTTCCTATAAAGTTCAATAATGGTTGGTTTATTTTAATTAAATAATTGAGCTTTCAGTACAAAATCATGAAGACATGCTTCTTCACACTTTACGGTCTTGGTTCACAATTTGGAGGCGCATGTTTATGCAATCCTCATAATGTGGATGTCGCACAATATCCTTTAGCATGAACAGCACACGAGACATTAGCTATCAAAAACCCTTTCGTTTAACCGTTTAAAATGCTCACGCAATGCAACGGCTTGCTGTGGGTGTAGTGCAAACAGGAATGGCGCAAAACGAAGTTGCGCGACATTGTAATGCTCACCAAAACACAATATCAAGACCATAGACTGACCGGAATGTGGTCTTTGCACAGCATAATATACGTGGAGACATTATCTTCAGTCGATTTGCTCCATACCGGTCTCCACATCAGTATTTATTCAGCTGGTGCATCAGCAATCGGTACCCACCTGCCATATAAACAGCTTTAATTAGTTGTGGAACAGTACACAACTGGTTGAGGGAACACAACGTCAGGCCCAACGTCAAGCAAAATGCCTTTGTTTCCACGTCACCTACTGGCATGTCCTGGTAGAAGGTTCAGAAGACAAGACTGGAAGAGTTCACAATTGAGACCAAGCTTCATCTGGACTGATCTGAGGTCCTGATGCACCAATGGTCATGTAGGGCAAAGCGAGGCGATGACGTGAATTAAAGAGACCAGTAACAGACATCGAGAAGGGCCTTAACCACACTAACGCCATATAATACGTGTCTTAAATATTAAAAACTATCATTCTGCTAGAAGGATGTGCACATTTCATACATGCGTTTATTGTAATAAAACATTAGATAACACATGTTGACATACGGTAGTGCAAGACCCAGTAGTTACGTGTTGCTTATTCATCCAGTGGCACGTCAGGTTGTTGTCAAAAATAATTGTAATAATAACGAGGGTACTTATACCGCGCAATACTCCACACCACAAAGGGGCATGCTCGAAGCGCGCACAAACACCACCACATTATTACCCCGGATAACCCAAGCTGCCTGTTAGGCGCTTGAAGGTTATAGTCACATGGCTTATCCCACCGAGTATCCATTTTCTCCTGGGTGAACAGAGGCAATTTTGAACAAACTCACATGCCGAAGGTGAGACCACATGTATCACATGTATTTCGTTGTGGGGCAGGACTGAAGTCCTAGAAACTCTCAGAGCAACGTTGAGCTCGTAGAATCCCTGGATGGGTATCTGTGTTTGGCAGCTTAACTTCAACTGATTTGTGAGCTGTATAATTGAAAGTAGAGACTGAAGATACTGTGGCTACTGAGGGTCGTGAATGGCGTTGAAGGCGATGTTTAGCAGCTTGAACTATATCCGTCGTTTGACTGGCAACCAAAGGAGACTCTGTAGTATTGGTGGGAGGAGATCTGTGGGGATGGCCTAAAAGTCGGGCCAAGAAAAGTCGGGCCGGGCCGGGCCACCGGGTAATACTAAAAATGGATTGCAGAATATTAAAACGAAACCTGCACATTTGAGTCGATACACTTCCTGCCTTCACAAATGCATAGTTTGATTGAAACTGTATAGTTAATGGTGAAAAAACCCACACATCAACAATGACTACATACGGAGATTCCCGTAGAAAAGACACCGTCTTGTTGTTATGTGTTTTCCTTGATATGTCTATGGGGGAAGGTTGCTTACTTACTTAGCGTGTGCCATCCGGGGGTCCTGGGCAGGAAGTGACAGTGTTTTGACTGCTTTTCTTTCCTTAATTAAGATATTAGGGTTCTCTAGCTGCTCTGCTTATAGCAGTTTGTCTTTAACAGGTTGAACACGAGTGTTACAGTTACAGAATTTCATTTCTCTATTCATGTTTGCATTTGTATTATGTTGAGGAACACAAAAAAGTTCATGAACATAGCAAACTTGATTGACTGATCCTAGATCTGTCCTGGTTGTCCTTATTTCCAGTTCTGATGCACTGTAGGACTGATGGAGAGCGTTAACAGCTCTCATTTGGTGAGGTAGCCAACGGACCCCTCTCAGGGGGTGTTGAAGATTAACACTGAGGGGCTCAGCTGCTGCCTGCAGTCCTTCCTGTCTGTTTGCAGAATACTTATAGAAGGAATAGACGTCACAAAGCAACTCGTCCATTGTTGCCATGTAGGAGATGGGCTAGGAAGTATCCATGCAGCCAACTCCAACCTGTGAGCACAACAATGTATTGACACTACATACATGTCGTGCAAACGTCTTCAGCTAAACAGCAACACCTGCTCTACAGCTCATCATGACGGCTGCACCATCTAAACATCATGTCCCTACTCGGCTAGTTTGCCAGTCATCGGGATCTTCATACTGAAGACAAGCTTAAGGCATGTCAACCAAAGCCTTGTTAACAGGAACAGCATCGGCTTTGTTTACAATTGTATACACAAGTAAACAGTTTTTCGTTCATCTCTGACATACATTACCTCCTGCCCACTTGTACTGCAATCTGAGGTTCCATCACATATCACAGAGAAGGACTCACTTCCCGGACTACTTCATTCATTATAGCCACATTTATGCCCTGGTGTTTGTATCTGTTGCATAACTGTGTTCAGTCTCACTCCTAAAACTGTTAGTAATTCCAGTATTTTAAGGAGATCTTTATAGGGTTTTTCATTTTTGGTCACCCAGTGTACTAATGTAAATAAAGTTTTCAAGTAATTTGTATGCTGAGAATTTATTTTCATAATTGAATGCTCCATAGGCAGAAGTGAAACATTTTGTTTTGCATATATCTCTGGAAGGTTGCTAACTTCACTACGTTTGTGAATATTTGTAGTTTCATGTGTCTTTATTTCTTGTAGTCTCAATGACTTTCAGTTCTGAAAGAATTTGCCTTGCCACATTTTTGACAAATATGACAAACCATTAAACATCGATATCCCTTATCATCATATAACAGTCAGTCACTATTGACTTTCCATTCATTTCTAAATGTGTAGACTTTTGACCTTGTTTTACTATATCCCTGTCACTGGAGTTTTGTTTATGCTTATTACCACTGGATGTATTGGGGCCAAGATTATCGTCAGATGTGCGACTGTCATGTTCAGCAGACGACATGCTTGCTTCCTCGGTTAATTTATTGCTTGCACCTGATGAGAAAAACGATTTCCGCAAAGATTCTTTCTTCACATTCATGATACTTTCCAATCAAGAAATGACTTGTCTGTGGAAATCTTGGCCCGGCTTAGATCTACATATCGCCCATTATTCCTGCAACTGAAGAGTCAGGGAACCATTATTGATTACCTATAGCAGTGACCCCTCACTTGCCATTAAACTTAAGTTCAATGTGTGCTCATAACAGTTACTGCTTTCACAACACACATGCACGCACGCACAAGAATCTGCTATGTAACTGATTTATGAGTACACAAATGTATCTGCTTGTCACATGGAGAGAAACGTGACACCCTTTCAACCTTCGTGCTGGTATCGCAAAGTAGATGATACGTTCACAACCATAGACAAGCAAGATGACCCAGCACAGCTACTGCAGCACCTCAACAACCAGCATCCGAGGATAAAGTTCACAATGGAGACTGAGCAGAACCGGCAACTTCCTTTCCTAGATGTTGCCCTCCAATCTACAGGCAAAGGTCTCGTCACTTCTGTGTACAGGAAGCCATCTCACATGGATCAGTATATCAATTACAACTCCTGTCACCACCCACAGATCAAACAAGCAATTATTGCTACTCTCACCAGAAGAGCCAAGTCCATCTGTCACCCAGATAATTTAAACAGTGAAATTGATTACCTCAAGAGAACCTTTACTGTCCTCAATGGCTACCCAGCCCGTCTTGTCTCCAGGACTATCACTAAAACGCTTGAATCATCAGAACTGCGCCTCAAGCCTGAACCATCCCCGATCAGGATCACAATACCCTACGTGAGACCAGTCAGCCATCAGATAGCCCGACTAATCAAGAGCAAAGCGGGCTTTGATGTAACTTTCTCTAGCGGTACAACAATTAAGACACTCCTCCGGGCAAATGGAAGAGGTTCTAGCAATGGAAGCCCCAACCCTAGAGGATGTGTATACCAAATACCATGCAGCTGTGGCGATCAATATATTGGCGAGACTCTCAGGCCCATTAACACCCAGGTTGCTGAACACAAGTCGTCAGTATGCAAACAAAATGATAAGACAGCTATATCGGAGCACAAGGCAAATAACCCAAGTCATGTAATCATGTGGAATGATATCAGGGTGCTTTCGAGAAATAACAACGACTGGCGTCGGAGAAAACTACAGGAGGCTGTGGAGATAAGGAGACATAAACCAGCAATGAATCGTGATCAAGGTGCATACCTGCCAAGTGCGTGGGACCTCTTGATTAACTTTTTATGAACTTTAGATAAAAGAAAAAACGAGTCTACTATTCTTTTTAGAAAGCCTGCAATCAAGTAACTTTTGTGTAATTAGCAGTTGTTGTGTATTGACAATTCAACTTTCAACTCTATTATTTAGCATGAATTTTCATCATTATGTAATTAACTCTTCAAACTCACTTGTACAGTACTCTCTCTAGTGTACTGTGATGTCACTTGCATTGTGACGTCATAACTCAGTTATGAAGGGACCTGGAATTGTCTCGAAATGTTGTGAGAGAAATTAAAAAAGAAGTTTAATCCATAAAAATATCTTGGGTATTACTTCTAGTCACTTACTTCCCAATTAAAACTCACGATAACAGCAATAAGATGTTGGAGGATTTATTGTTACCTGCACTGGGTACAACCTGTTACTGAAGGTAACCTGCACCAGCCATTGCTAACATGCACTAGTGCAGGTTGTAAAGAGTGGAATCGCACCCTGGCTTGTCTGTACTTGTCTTCTAATATGATCTCACAATGCTACAGAGTGAAATGACAAACCCAAACATGATCAGATGTGGTTAAAAACAATTTACAACTTACATCAACATGTTTACATCTGAGGATATAGGACAGGGAGGATGGTTTCTTATAATGTGCATGGGCGGTTGCATTTCCTGCAAACCAAGGATAGAACAAAACTGCAATAGATACATAAATGCTTAACAAAGAAAAATCCAAATCTGTTCACAATGATACATTTGCTCGTAATCAAATTTCAGCAGAGACAGTCAAGCATTTAAAATACACAACATCCCAAGAACAGGGAACACAACAAACAAAAGGTACTCCTGATCTCTTGAAGTGGAAGAAAATTGATGACATGGTAAGGACAGTTCTGTTCACTTGTATATCTATCTTGTTGTCAAAGAAAAAGTCCATCAATTTTCATCAATTGTAGCTTAATCCATTTGCATGTGAAGAAGGTGACCAAACATATACAGTGTGGTTTTGACAGTCGATCGTTTAATGCTGAGAGGTCTGAGTCTATTTAAGGCTTAGTCATTACACATGCAGGTTGAACCTGTAAGGCTTGAGGAAGTCCTGGTCACTTAGAGAAGTATTCAATCTGAGCTGGTTTAGCCACCCAGCATCCTATGCCAGCCTGTACACAGTGCTCACACATAGCACGTTTTGAAACCTGGTATTCACTCGCCTTTTGCTTAGCTTCATGGAAGGTAGAAATCTTTAACAAATGAGGTTTCGGGGAAACCTTAGCAAGTTCACGAAATCTTGCCATGAAGCCAGCTTTGCACAATCGACTGGCCATTGAAGCACCTGTTTTGAATGGGGACCTGTAAAAGAAAGTACACAACATGGTTGCAAAATTATGTTTAACTTGGGATACACAGACATTTTTTTATGCAATCATCCATTAAAACTTTTGTTTGATGTTAAATAAAACATATTTTATTCACAAATATGAAAGGGATTGGGGTCAAATTATAAAACGTAAGATACCCGCTCCCTCATCTATCCTGGAGTGTGAGGCGGCCACGTTCCAATGTATGCTTTCAAAGGAATATGAGTTGGCCAGATTCAAACATAGTTTTATACAGGAGCTCTCAGGTTGCTAGACTCACTTGAGGTGTGAGGTGTCAAGTAACAATTTATTCATTCAAATTTGAGGAGGGTGATTGTTCCCACAGTAAAATACTGAGTTGTCCATATGATGCTATCTTGTCAATATGGTGTTCCTAACCATGAAGTACTATCACATAGGAACATACATATATCAAAGTAACGTTCATACTTAAAAGCAGCATTGGCAAGTTACAATGTTGCTGTGTTTGTACATACATTGGAGTGGTTTTCCCCGTGAAACCATCTGTGACCTCCACCTTGTCATCTCCCTCTGACCAGTTGACACTGAGAGACGTTGCATGTTGTCCGTCAGGGTAGTGGTGAGTGAAAGATATGGAGACTGGATGAAGGCGTGGATGGTTGATGTGATATGTAGACGACAAACTCTCACTTAACACATCGTATACACGACAACACACTGCACGGGAACAATGGCCATGGTCAAACTTTGAACCTATGTAAAGAAACCATAGCCTACAATTAAAATATTACTCTTGTTTAGACAACATATCTGCCCCTACAAAATAGCTGTTGGAAAAATGTTCAATAAACATCAATTGCTTTTGTTCTCTGCCATGTCACAACTGAGGTTATCTTTAAGCACCATTCACTGTTTCTGTTGGTTGAGGAAAGTGGCCTGTCTCATGGTGAATATACCTCATTTCACAATTTTGCAAGGCTCCCTTCAAATGATAAAATGGTGTGCATCTGTTCATGCTGTTGATTATGTGTAATCCTGACTGTTTCCGAACTGTAAATACACTACAAATATATTGTCAATACAGGATTATTCCACAGCATAACTATAGCATGGACTATGTTATAAGAACACAAAACTCCAACACTCAGTCACCTAGCTGGTGCCATTATAATTATTCTGCATAATCTACAGATACCATTGAGCACTTGTTTCTGAGCAGGTAGGAAGGAGCTCATTGTCATGTGGTGAGGACACCTTTGAATTCTCATATGTGATCCATCATTCTCACACACCTGTAGATGGGGAGCCATGCGAGATAACTAATATCAAAGATACTAAGATGGAATTAAATATAAGTGATTGGCTGCTCCATGATGATGACCAAAGTCTGCCACCACAAACCTTTGATCAACACATACCATTGGCCTATGAAGAGCTAATCAAGCTATAGACTTGTTGAAGTCACAACTGACTTTGTGTGCTAGCGATTATGTGCCTGACTCTGAGGGTGTGGGGTGTCGTATGGGACTCAACCCAACAAAACGTACAAGAATCTGTACTTTACTAAGAAAGTGTAATCCCAAATATAACATATGTTACATCTGACCACTTTCTAAATGGCATTGTGTAATCATGCACATTTTATGTCCTCGTAACATGCAGAGTGTCACACTTCATCCTGGCAACATTCTTCCCCGTATTCAAACTCAGTGAGCGGCACAAGCATATGTCAAAAACGATTTCAATGACATCACACTGTTCATATTTTTATACGTGCAAGAAACAAAATCATCTACATCTATGTTCTAACATTGTCAGTTTAGAGTGTTTAATCTACTTTGCATCATCTTTATTGCCTTGATGTGTCAGGCTGTTTTGTGTGGAAGGACACACTAGGTCACACTATGATGTTATGATGTGTATAACTGCGCCACTAGGATGAGAAAAAATGAAATATGATATCCTATTGAATCCTAAAGTGGCATGTTTCATAACATGTCTACCCCACGTTCAGTTGATAGATAAGTTTTGAAACAACAAGCTGTAAGATAAATCGTATCTGACAGACACTTGAGTTGTGTTCTCTACTGCATACCAAACCTTTAACTTGGGAACTTGTATATGTGTGAAAATGTGTAAGTACAATAATGGACTTCAGTATACAGCAATTAAATGTATACATTATTTATGCACAACACCGAAGGTCTGTTGATGTATTCAAAACAGCAATGTCGCTTACTTTTTCGCATGAGGAGGGCAGGTGAGAAAGTAAGTTTAAAGAAGTGGACCAAAGGGTCAATGAAGAGACAGGTAGCATCTGACAGGTGTAACAGGAAGTCAGAGGTATGATAGTGATATTAACTGGTGGAAGTAGCTAGAAATAGAAGGATGCAGTCCAAGTGAAGCTGGAGAAGTCAGAGAGTCTGCTGGGGGTATATCAAGGTCAAAAGTTATCAAAGCTAACAGACTGACACTCAACTGCGGACAGGGACAATGAAAACAACTTGAAGATGATGGATGAAAATGCATATATATCCGTATAAAGATGGTACAGTTATGAGAGAGTTATAACCACCACCTTGCTACATAGACCAGCTTTGAGAATCTTTGTAGAACTACTCCCTCATACCCATTAACAAACTGCCATCTGTCATCCACTGGCTTTATGTGGGTACATCCAATTCATCAAGGTAGTAGCTGGGGAGATGACCACCTTAAGCCAGAGATATGCCTGGTTGGGGCAGTTGGTGCTGGTGTGGATGATGGCAGGCTGAGTGATGTCAGTGGTGACTGATGGCAGGTGCACTGATGGCAGTGGTGACTGATGGCAGGCGGACTGATGGCAGTGGTGACTGATGGCAGGCGGACTGTTGGCAGGTGGACTGATGGCATTGGTGACTGATGGCAGGTGCACTGATGGCAGGCAGTGGTGACTGATGGCAGGTGGACTGATGGCAGTGGTGACTGATGGCAGGTGCACTGATGGCAGTGGTGACTGATGGCAGGTGCACTGATGGCAGTGGTGGCTGATGGCAGGTGCACTGATGGCAGGTGGAATGATGGCAGGTGCACTGATGGCAGGTGACTGATGGCAGGTGGACTGATGGCAGTGGTGACTGATGGCAGGCGGACTGATGGCAGGTGGACTGATGGCAGGCGGACTGATGGCAGTGGTGACTGATGGCAGGTGGACTGATGGCAGGTAGACTGATGGCAGGCTGACTTATGGCAGTGGTGACTGATGGCAGGTGCACTGATGGCAGTGGTGACTGATGGCAGGTGGACTGATGGCAGGCGGACTGATGGCAGTGGTGACTGATGGCAGGTGCACTGATGGCAGTGGTGACTGATGACTGATGGAGGTGACTGATGGCAGTGGTGACTGATGGCAGGCAGATGGCTGACTGATGGCAGTGGTGACTGCTGATCGCAGGTGCACTGATGGAAGTGGTGACTGATGGCAGGTGCACTGATGGCAGTGGTGACTGATGACAGGTGCACTGATGGCAGGTGCACTGTAGGCAGGTGCACTGATGGCAGTGGGGACTGATGGCAGGCAGACTGATGGCAGTGGTGACTGATGGCAGGCGGACTGATGGCAGTGGTGACTGATGGCAGTGGTGACTGATGGCAGGTGGCTGATGGCAGATGGCAGGTGACTGATGGCAGACTGTGGACTGATGGCAGCAGTGGTGACTGGTGACTGATGGCAGGCGGTGGGTGAAGATGGACTGATGGCAGGTGGACTGACTGATGATGGCAGGTGCACTGGATGGGCAGGTGCACTGATGGCAGTGGTGACTGATGGCAGGTGATGGCAGTGGTGACTGATGGCAGGGTGACTGATGGCAGGACTGATGCACTGATGGCAGTGATGGTGACTGATGGCAGGTGGTGACTGATGGCAGGTGGACTGATGGCAGTGGTGGTGACTGATGGCAGTGGTGACTGATGGCAGTGGTGACTGATGGCAGTGGTGACTGATGGCAGGTGGCAGTGGTGACTGGATGGCAGGTGACTGATGGCAGGTGGTGGCACTGATGATGGCAGGTGCACTGATGCACTGATGGCAGTGGTGACTGATGGCAGGCGGACTGATGGCAGTGGTGACTGATGGCAGGCTGACTGATGGCAGTGGTGACTGATGGCAGGTGCACTGATGGCAGCGGTGACTGATGGCAGGTGCACTGATGGCAACGGTGACTGATGACAGGTGCACTGATGGCAGGTGCACTGATGGCAGTGGGGACTGATGGCAGGCGGACTGATGGCAGTAGGGACTGATGGCAGGTGCACTGATGGCAGTGGTGACTGATGGCAGGTGCACTGATGGCAGTGGTGACTGATGGCAGGTGGACTGCTGGCAGTGGTGACTGATGGCAGGTGCACTGATGGCAGGCAGTGGTGACTGATGGCAGGTGGACTGATGGCAGTGGTGACTGATGGCAGGTGGACTGAAGGCAGTGGGGACTGATGGCAGTGGTGACTGATGGCAGGTGGACTGATGGCAGTGGGGACTGATGGCAGTGGCAGGTGGACTGATGGCATGGTACTGATGCTGGAGAGGGAGTGTTCTCAATATGCATGTTGATTGTTGAGATTTCCAGCATAGTTTGGATACTTGTGTTGTTGAACTCACCAGAAGATGATGTTGAAACAAGGATAAAAAAACGGATAAAATTAAAAGAACAGTTGTTTGTTAACCAGTTGCTGAGGGAGGGTTGAGAATGATTGATATATATGCCTATGTTGATGCATTGAAAGTAACATGGATTAGAAAATTACTTCAATTCGATTATGAAAGAAAGTGGAAACACCTGTTGATAGAAACTATTCCACAATATTTGAACCTCTCATTATTTGGTAGTGAATATCCACTTAAGCTTTCAAAATCTATGCAAAATGAGTTTTGGAAAGATACTCTAAATGCTTTTGCCAAATATAGTTATAAAAATAAACCAAATACCTATGAAGAGTTCCTTAAGGAACCCCTTTTTGTATAATAGAAACATAATTATAGATGGCAAATCGTTTTACAGTAAAAAGTTTTATGAACACGATATTGTTAATATTTACTGCTTACTGAATGATGATGGGAACTTTATGACACTTACACAATTTTGTCATAAAGTCTACAGGACAAATTTTCTTGAGTTTCATGGAATTGTAAAGACCATTAGTAAATACCTCAAAGCAACGGGTATCGAAAAAAGCTCAAATGTGATACTAGACAACTTTACGAGTCTAAGTATAATTAATCTCACTTCATGTAAAAAAGGATCAAAGAACTATTATTTTAAAATCGCAGAAAGTGAAGAAAAATTGAAGATTATTGAAAAATGGGAAGATGAAACTTTGATTAATATTAATTGGAATAATATCTTCATAAAACCCTTTAAAACCACTCATGATCCTAAATTAAGATGGATGCAATTCAGGCTGCTTCACAGAATCTATCCAGTCAATACATACCTGATTAAAATGCATATGGTCGAGAATTATTTTGTACATTTAGTAGTTCAGAGCCTGAATCCAGACTTCATCTTTTTTGACAAACAACGTCTCAGTGGATTGAGCAAAATTGTTCACACACCAGTATTATAAACCTTCAGGTTGATTTGATCCTTTTTGGTTGTTCTTCCACCTTTCGAACTGATGATACTCTTGATCTAATTCTGCTACTTGCTAAATATCATATATATATATATGTAAGCGGAAGAAAATCTCACCCACTTTAGATCACTTTAAGAAGGAATTGAAATACTATTATTTGATCGATAAAGTAAGATATTGGAATAAAGCACTGTTTAATGACTTTGAAAGGAAATGGGCAATGTATAAAAATCTAATTAATGAAAATTCATGACTTATTTACTTGTAGGTATATATGCATGGGAATGAAAGTGTGAAAGAATGATGTTTATATATTTATTTATTAATTACTTACTTATTTATTTACATTATTATTTATTTACTTATTTACTTATCTACTTATTATTATTTTTTTTCATTATCCTTTTTTACTATTTGAATATTATATGTTTTTAGTTTTCATGTCCTGTAGTACATATATAAATATTAACAAGGAGAACATGTAACATGTATACTAGTGGTGTAACGATTCATCGATAGTATCGATGTTTGCATCGTCAACTACTCGATACGAGTGCATCGATACAAAACACGTTTAGGCAATATATCAGGATATTTATATCGCGAGGGTCCATGATGCATCGATGTATCGCCACAAGAGACGATATATCCCGATACTACTTAAATATTACTTAAAGTTGTAGGGAGAATTGCATAAGTAATAGGAAGGGAGTCGCTTTCAAATTTTTCTGAATTTTAAAAAACAAACTGAACCTAAAAGGAATTTGTTTGTGTCTGCCATCTTTGTTACATGAACAAAGGAGTTAGTGTATAAGTGAAAGCATGTGAACAATCTCTGTGAACTGTAAAGACTTGTCTTTAAGTAATTGAAACATGTTTAGTTGTTTGACAAATAACACCATTTATTAACAGCTATGAACGATGTCTTAGCTTTGTTAAGAAAGAGAAGATAAAATTTAGAAAGCATACTTATGAGTTTTTTGCAGTGATTCTGGTATAAATTACTGTATAAATTGCCTGTGCTTGCAAGCATTGGTGCAGAAACACAACTTTCCAAGGGAAACCTAGAGCAAGGTATACTGAATATGTTTGATTGTACTTTCTTAAGCATTAAATGCTGAAACTTTATTACATGAACGGCCTTTTAAGTGTGTGTGAATGTAACACATGTTCTGCTGAATAACAAATAAAGATTCAGTCATTGTATCTATCATATATGTCCTGTTTTTAGGATTGTAAAGTATCGGGATAACTATCGTATCGCCATCACTGTATCGTGATGATAATCGTCTCGCAGGTTCCTTGCCAATACTTTCATGATATATCGTCTCGCCTCATTAAACTAGTATCGGGATATATCGTCTCGCCACTTAAGCCACCATACACAGCTCTAATGTATACAGGAATAAAATTTTAAAAAATAAATAAATACACATCTCGACATCTGTAATCATTCCTGCCCAATAAAACTGAGTCCCAAGAAGAGCCAGGGTCCTGTCCCTGCCCAAATGTCCCATGTCATCATGTAGACCTCAACTCTTTAACACTGGGGAACAATCAATTGATAGTAGCATGCTTCTACATCTGTAAGGCCATATTGGACGGTGAGTGAGTTTCACTGCCTGTAAAAAGATGAAGTGTCCGTGGTTGGGCATTTAATTACCATTCTAGATGAAGTCCAAAATGAAACAGATTTAGGAATCAGCTTCATGATAGGATTTCATCAGATGGCAAGGCGAGTGCAGTACATGAGATAAGTTGCCCAGTAGAGATAGAGCAGTTTGTGTGTGCGTGGATTCCCGCTCTAACCTTGACAAAGGATCTGCATCAACATTTCTTGCACACATACTCAAGTAGAAGTGAGAAGGCAGAGGTGGCAAGCTCTGTGAGTTGGCAATGCCTGGTTGCATCCAATATAGCGGAGGTTAGGACGTAAGTAAAGGGATTACTGTCAGTATTCACAGTGAATGAGCTGCTAATACAGCTAGTTAGCAAAGTAATACATCTGACAGTGACCAGGAGTGAAGCAAAGAACAGTTCAAAGTGTCCCCACTTGTCCAGTGTCTTGTCAGAACACTGCATTAAGGAAATTGCCAAATACTGTCAATTAGCACTAGACATCACATATATTGGTCAAATATATTGACATGAGCCCTCCCATTTGATGATCCCAAATCAAACAATATTTATTATTGTTAGTAATTCAAGAATACTACCTCTGTAACATAACTGCCATATATCCTGTATTTCAGCTGCAATCACACTAAACCCCAACATTCAGATACAATGGATGTTTCTTTCTCTGTGAACTAAACATAACTAGTTGTCTTCGCAGCAGCACTATCATCTTACACCTCTTCCATGTGTAAAGGCATGAAAGACTCACTCCTGTGTGTCCTGTAAACATCTGCTACATAGTTGCTCCCCTCCAGCACATGGCTATGTCATGCCACTAATTCTAATCCCATCTAAAATAATAACTAAATTCATGTACCATATATTATTGTAGATAAGCCAAATTTGGAAGACCAAAAAAAGCAGCCTGTAGAAGGGGCTCGGCATATCTACAGGTAACAATGACATCGGATCGCTTCACATGAATGAACAAGAGCAAACGACTTTGTCAGTGAAGATGTCAAATTTGCAATTAAACATTACTAGACAAGATTTTTTACCTTTTCAGTTAATAGTGTGTATTTGTCTCATTTATAGAGCCGGAAATAGCAATCAGCTGTGTACACGTTTCCCGGCGATCTACCAGTGATTTAGCATTCAATCCAGTGATCAACAGCATGGCATACAATGACAAGTGACTACCAGCCTGACTACCTGATCCCATTAGTCACCTCTTTCAAAAAGAATGGGTTGCTGAAGACCAATTCTAACCCGAGTCTTCTAGAGTGGCCATGATGTCATAGTATGATAGCTTGTGGGTAGGCTTTATTTTGGATCATGGGTAGTTATGGATAATGGTCAAGGATACCCAATAAAATAGATGTATGATGAATGGATATTTGGCAGGACTACATTGCATATCAAGATAGAGTCAACACACCAAGAAATTCTTGGGAGGTATTTTTTCCTAACTGGTTGACATATGATGGAGGGTTGAAGACATACCGACTATGATTGAGGACAGGTAGACAGGTTCCAGGAAGTGCGTGAAGAGTGCTCCCTGCAGTCCCAGTATGTTCCAGCGCAGCAGCTTGTCACTGCAGGACATGACCATGATGTCCTCACCAGCCTCAATGTCTGCCAGGCTCTGATATGGCTGCTGGTCTTCAGCCACAGGCAGCACAACACCTGAATAACAACAACAACAAAATCCAGGTAATTTCCGCACATTCTTAGCTTCATTATGTCCATTGTTGGTCCCTGTATCATCACTAAGTACTACTTCATATGAACTAATATCATTGGAAAAAAAAGAAAACATTGTAGCAAAAGGTACAACATTGATTTAGTAAATGTACCCATAATAGTTTTCGATTTTGAGTGAGTTTAGTTTTACGCTGCACTCAGTAATATTCCACCTATATGGCAGCGGTCTGTAAATAATCAATTCTAGACCGGATAATTCAGTGATCATCAGCATGAGCATCAATCTACGGAATTGGGATATGATGACATGTGTCAACCACGTCAGCGAGCCTGACCACCCGATCCTGTTAGTCACCTATTACGACAAACATGTGTTACTGAAGACCAAATTCTAACCCAAATCTTCATGGTTTGTGTTCCATTTTGAAAATCTCCACTTAAAAATACTTCAGCGATAAAGTCCAAACTTCTAAAAATAATATATTCTGGAAACAAAGAAAACAAAAGTGACAAGTAAAGTTTGTGAATGTGTACAATGTTCCATGGATAATCACTGCAGGTAGTACTGCAGTTTATGGTGGATATGTGTCTCAATATTTTTATTTAATTGTTGCCATCAAAGTTGTTGATTTCAGATGCAGTAACAATTTTGGATGCCTGGAACCCATTTCAGTTTCTGGAACCCATTTCAGGGGCTCACCAGTACCTTGACCAGACTATCTAAAACTCACATGCTGTACTTCCACAACTGACTTCAACTGATCCATTCAGGTAGCTCCTTGCAAGTTATCTTACCTCACACACAAATGTCGTTTTCTGATTGGCTGAGCGTTCTTCTATCTTTTTCAATGTACCCCGCTTACAAACGAGTAACATTTTCTATGAAACGAGTAACGTCTACCCGCTGGGAATGCCAAACTGTGGGAAATCATTTGGTACTTTGTGTTAGTAATTCTCAATCTTGAATAATTGAGTCACATATGATGTATGGAAATTACCAATGTTTTGGGAATGCAAATCGATGGAAGGGAGATAACTAAGTATTGACTAACTGCCTAACTCTGGTACTCCTTCTTATGATCAGATACCCGTGCTTCAAACAGTTGTTTAGTGACATAAATACATTGTTCACTGGTCCCTTGGGGCCCATGGGTTGATGTACAAACATAGACCAGTGAAAAACTCATAATGTCCCCCTCATGACCAGTGAACAACTCATAATGTCCCCCTCATTGACCAGTGAACAACTCATAATGTCCCCCTCATGACCAGTGAACAACTCATAATGTCCCCCTCATGACCAGTGAACAACTTATAATGTCCCCCTCATGACCAGTGAACAACTTATAATGTCCCCCTCATGACCAGTGAACAACTTATAATGTCCCCCTCATGACCAGTGAAAAACTAATAATGTCCCCCTCATGACCAGTGAACAACTTATAATGTCCCCCTCATGACCAGTGAACAACTCATAATGTCCCCCTCATTGACCAGTGAACAACTCATAATGTCCCCCTCATGACCAGTGAACAACTCATAATGTCCCCCTCATGACCAGTGAACAACTTATAATGTCCCCCTCATGACCAGTGAACAACTTTTAATGTCCCCCTCATGACCAGTGAAAAACTTATAATGTCCCCCTCATGACCAGTGAACAACTTATAATGTCCCCCTCATGACCAGTGAACAACTTTTAATGTCCCCCTCATGACCAGTGAAAAACTTATAATATCCCCCTCATGACCAGTGAACAACTTATAATGCCCCTCTCATGACCAGTGAACAACTTATAATGTCCCCCTCATGACCAGTGAACAACTTATAATGTTATACTCAGAAGATCACAACAAAAGGTGTACTTCCACAGCTGATTTCAACTGATCCATTCGGGTAGTTACTTGCAATATGTTATGCTCAGAAGATGCACAGAGCATGAACATAGAATAGGATGGGAATCATGTTTGTCAACAGCTTGAGGCTATGATAGTCTTAAGCCAACCTGCATTTCAGGCCTTAGAAATGTCTTTGTCAGCATGTGTCAGACAAAATATGAACCATCTTTCAGTATCAGCCAGAGGGAGTTTGATTGCTTTAATGGAACATACACAGTCAGGGTGATCCAGCGTAGTTCCAAGCGCAGGTATAAATTGGTCCTCAGCCACAAAGTCAGGCAGAGAGCATATCATGATAGATCATCATCATGACAGAAGCATGCACTTCAGAGACTGTCACCCTGGCTAAACAGAATAACCTGGCCTTCACAAGAAGTTTAAGTGGATCACATAGGACAGCAGAGAGAACTATTGATAAATCAGAATTTAGGCATATTTTATTGAGTGCCAACATCTTGAAGGAGGAAAGATAAGATAAGCTTTTTTAATATGGGATAGTTGCCAAGGGTTATGATGTAATGAAGAGCATTAATAGCCTTTAATTTCTTAAATCACAAAATATGTTATCTTTTATCACAGATAAAACAATTAACAACCATGGGCATTGTGACTTGGGCATCACCTAAACCACATTTCCTCCAAACTTGTCCATCTATTGAAAAGGAAGAGGGAAGTGTACAGACTCCCAAGATAAAGCACCAGCTGAGGAGGCAGATTAAGAAGACCCGAAGGTATATACTTTGTGAGATAGATTTATGTGAGATATGTCTATCTGGGAAAAGGCAAAATATATATCAAAGTGGTACTTGTAGAGAATCTTCCATCAGTAGACACAAGTATCTGGGAAATCAACGTCTTCTCAGACAAATTCCTAGCAAACATCCAATTATTCTCAATAATGAGAATATTTATAACGCACCTTTTCCAAGCTAGATATCCTTCTCAAAGCACACAATCTGATCATCATTACCCCGGATAACCCAAGCTACCTGTTAGGCAATAGTCTCACGACATATTTCACCAGGTACCCATTTTCTACTGGGTGAACAGAGGCAATTTTGAACAAACTCACTTGCTTAAGGTGAGAACACATGTATCACATGCACTTTGTTGTGGGGCAGGACTGAAGTCCTACAAACTCTCAAGCTGTCACACATGGTCACCCATCCAAGGACTCTCAATGCCCAAAGTTGTTTAACTTCAACTGATTTGTGACCTGAGCTCTATGCTCAGGACTACCAACCTCTTGTTTGATGGTTAAAAAGAACTAATATGATTTGTTTACTGTTTACATTTCATTTATAAGCATCTGTCATGGTATAATTCATGGCAATACTTTGTAACATTTCTGACTGAATCATAAAAATATTGAAATCTGTGATAAAAAGGCTGATATTTACCATCTTCATCTTTAACAGAGAGAAAACTGCATCCTTCAGCATCAAAGGAAGGGAAGTGAGCACCAAACTCAACCAGTTCCATGTTTTCTGGAGTCAAAGCACTCGATGGCCTGAAATGGAATAACCACCAGATCATTTCAGTGATACTATACAACAAATGCAACAGCTCTTGTTACTGGTTACGATAAAGTTAGTTAAACGGCTACGTTCATCCAGTGCATCCAGCATCAAACAAGGAGATGCATTCAAGACAATCAACAGAAAAGTATTCCCAGTACAGTGGAATCTGTCTATTATGGGCTGGCCTGAGACTGACTCATTTGTCCGGATCCGGATTAGTCAAATATTGCCATGATGAGTTACCTCACTTTATTAAGGACACACAATAACTTGGATAGTTTTCTTTTTGTTTTTTTATTTATACTCAAAACATGTAGTAACATACAACAATACATACATAAAAACATAAATATCTGGCACATAAAATAAAGATATAATGGCATAAAGTAAATAAGTTCACTTTCATTCACTGAGTTATTCTTATCACATTAAATTCAGTTGTTGGCGATCTATAGCCTGTTTTTATATTGTATTGTCCAAATAGTGATATCAGTTTTAACTTTCCTCACTAGTTTTAATTCTAATTGTGATATTCTAGTTGTTTTACTGTCCTTTGACGACAGGTTTATATGATATACACATGTTTCATTTCAATGTCAAATATGTTCTCGTCACGATATGGCTGAAATATTGCCGATGTGATGTAAAATCTTAACTCACCCACTCAATATCACATTAAATAATCTGTGTTTATAAAATTAATTAACCATTGAGAACAGAAGTAACAGTGATGTTTATTCAATGGGCTGTTATTTTAGTCAGCTACGTCCGGTTCTATCCCAAAAGTTCCACATCCCAAAACATCCACATCCCAATACTACCACACTTTGTTAAAACAACAACTCCTCACCTCCCCTTTTTATGTAATAGGATAGCCCAGCATGTGCACTGAACTGAAAAAACAGATAATGATCCTGATCACCTGACTGTTTTTCTTGTAATGTACTTTATAGGTGTAATTGAATAGTCCAGGAACTTTGGAGGAAGTGAACTTTCTTTTGATGCCCTAAACAGGGAACAGAAGAGTAGTAGAGACTTAGCAGAGTAGAGATTTCGTAGACAAGGGAGCAGTTAGTTAATAAATTTGACACATATATTGTATGAGATGTTGAAAGTGCTTCATTTCATCATCATGGCAGGTTTAGTGAAAGTGGAGTTTGTATTGTCTCAGAAAAGAACGCAACAGATCCATGTGAATGGCTATTTGTACAACAGGCATATTGTAAGACAGTCGTGCACACATTGGATATGTTCAAGTTCAAAGTGTAAGGCGAGATGTACAACTATCAGTATGCCAAAGCGTGTGCAGTCAACCAGAAATGTTGTTGTTATAAGCTGTGGAAGTTTTGGGAGGATACCGCTATGTCCGGATTACAAAGCAACGTTCTCATAGCATATTGAGTATCAAGACAGTTATTTTAGTCCATAATCCGTAATTGAGAGAGTCCGGATTATAATGTAAGCTTTAATGATAGATTAAGAACAATTTTGCTGGGACTCAGAGAGTAGTCTGGATTATGGAGAAAAACGGTTTACAGAGTCTTGATTTGACAGATTCCAGTGTACTATCAAGCACTGAGTTGCACTCCCCTTCTCTAGGTTTTGTCATTACCACCCAAACTTGAAACATACAACCATGGCAAGGAAAAAGTTACATATCCCTATCTAAATCAACTAAATGTGTATTACTTAATAATTTAATGTTGAAGGCACAATGTCACACATTTTCGACAAAATTTTGGTCTATAATATATATCTTGGAGCAAATGCACTCACTTTAGCTTCCTATTGATGCAATAAAAGACTTATTATCCCTCATGACTTGCTTGAAATCGATTATTGAAACTTCGAGGTGAAAACTTCAAAACAGAGAACACTTGCTATATATGGAATGTAAACAATTGCTCCGTACATCAAAAACTGTCGCACGCGGTGTTGTCTGTGTTAGCCGAACTGGTTTCAATCACAAGTTGTGCGTAAGATATTCTTAAAGAGTGCTCCAAGGGACATAACTCTGATAAAAGGGGTTGGCTAAAAATAATGTTTGATCCAAAATAATTTGTTTATATGACATATACTGTTTAACAATGATTGGCATTATTTCTCGTTTTTGCAACATTTATATATCATTCACAATGTAGATTCATCATGACATGTTTACTCTTCCTTCCATTGTATCCCGGAGCCGTATTCATATAAGCTTATGCTTGTTTACCAATCCGGTTCCTTTCATTCAAAATTAATATGTTTAAATCATAATGTTCAGCCAGTAGAGGCCACAAGAGTTGATTTAAAGCAACTTTGAATTAATTCATTTGAATGTTTTAATGTAATATTGTAATCTAAGTACGTAATTTTTTTCAGAATAAATGATATGGTAGCTTCCCTGAGGGCTGATAGTTAGTATTATTGAGAGAAATGCTGTATTTATTTTTAGAGAAGTGTTGTGATATAGTGCCTTTAAGTACTTACAATGAATCAGTAGTCAAATGATTCAAATATAACAAAACAAAGGTCATCTTGTTTTGATTACTGCAGTTAAGAATGAGCTGTTCAGGCCAACAAAAAGTTGTGTGCCTGCACATCATATTCTGACATTCACCTTTGACGAATAGGACCAACTTTCCACAGCACTGCCCCAATCCAGTAAGGTAAACATGCTTCAGCGCCGTTGAGCACCATATAGTGGAAACTAGGCGCTGTACAAATCCATCATTAGGGCTCCTTGCCACAAGGCAGGAGACCTATTGGAATCGTTAATGTTTTTATTATTTATTATTCCGCCGTATTTTGTACCAGTCCTACAAAAAGCACCGCTGGACAGAATCGCTTGAAAAAAATCACCATGGTGCCGACAGTGCTGAAGTTGTTTCTGCAAAAATCTCAAGGCTCTAGGCCCAATAGCAAAGGGGAGATAATTCAAAATTAATTCAAAATTTTCAATTTCCAAAGCAATAATCTCCGAAACTAAAAGTCCGATGACTACCAAATTTCTGGAGCAGGTCTGGAATCCGATTACCTTCAATTTCAACTGCAGGATCCGTTTGGCCGCCATATTGGATTTAAGGAAATTTCACGTTTTTGACGGGTAGGCATTTCTTCTACCCGTCACTGCAAGCGCTACGGCGTTCAACATTATCCGTGTGAATACAACGTATGGGAGGTAAAAGGAAAAAATACTGTTTGAGACGAGCCCCAAATGAAAGAAAAAGAGTGCCAAGCAAACTGACCGAAAACTCGAGGCACACCACACCAGAAATCACTAAAACAGACTATTAACATCGTACCAGTCATCATAAATGATACTTACACTCAAAACCCCAAAGTTTGGACAGATTTAATAAAATAGGGACTTCTTTTTATCACCGACGGCCCAGGGATACATTGCCGAATGTGTCATAAGTTTCATCGACATTTACAGCACAGCAGATTACCCGTGCAAAGCATGCAACAGTCTGAAGGAAAGCGCAAGGACAATATCTCCTATAAAGAGACTACCACTGCAAAGCGTGGTCCAGCGTGAGCGGGTTAAACACAAGCTAAACGATACTGAAGTAACAAATAGTATGTCTAAGTGTATTTTCAAAGACAACAGACGGACAAGTGAAATTCTATTTTCCTCACTGTATAGTTTCTATCTTTATTGGTTCTCTAGAGAGCGCAATGAAACTTTGCAGAATGTATCTCAAACGTTTGCTGATCATTTTCTGTTCATGATGAGAGCATAAACATGTGATTCTTTCCGTCGAATGGCACAGGTGTTATGTGCCAAAAACCCAGAGCGTTACACAAAATTAAAATACAGTGCAGTAGAGGTGTTATATCTTCATTGAAATTCAGTCTTTTGTAAGGGGTTTGTTTAGGCAGCTTTTAAAGACTGTCAATGAATGAGTGTTCCTGGTCATAGTAAAAGTTGTAGCTGTGGTCTAAGGGGGGTAACTCTGGTCTAGCTGAAGGAAGCGCTAGTAAAATATTTCCACACCCATCACTCGCCGGCTTTGCATGGATTTTAAAACTTCATATGTGACCTTTATTGAGCTGTTAGGTGTATTTCCAGTATATATACCTGCTCTCGATTCACTATTCATTTGCAACAGCCCGATTGTAACAGTGTAATGGATACTGATACAAAACTACTGAAGTACCTTAACTGCTGTGTAATCACAAGTTCACTTAGCGTGAGCGTGAGTGTGACTGAGTGAGTGAGTGAGTTTAGTTTTACGCCACACTTAGCGATATTCAAGCTGTATGTCCGCGGTCTGTATATAATCGAGTCTGGACCAGACAATCCAGTGATTATCAGCATGAACATTGATCTGTGCAATTGGGAACCGATGACATGTGTCAACTAAGCTCAGCGTGAGAGAAACAGTGTTGTGGATATTGTACGGGCGCTTTGTGTCCCATTTCAACTTGGCTGTTGTTGATATTTAAATGGAAATTGTATCTACACTCACCCAAAAATAAACACCATAAACAACCACATTTTCAGTAAAAAGAAATAAATTATTAGCAATTGAACGTGCATTATTCTTTTTCCTTCGAATCTCTAATCAAGCCAACAGCTGTTTCCAAAGCCATAAGTGCAATTACCCATACCATACAACACAATCCTTTGTTTCTAACCCTAAAAATATAAGAATTCAAAGTTTACTACTGAAGTATTTCTCATTACAAACAGTGATATGATCCATATCAGCTATAGCCTTTACTGCTTTCGACATCTGCATGACAGGTACCAAATGGCTAGAAATTATCCAATCCAAGGAGCCCTCAATGTTGCTCGCGACTTTAATTATTATTTATTATTATTAAGTGCCCTACCCTAGGTTTAATATTAAATGTAAATATCGTTTTTGAGACAAGGTAACCTCAAAGAGATTTTTCAATATTATGACCTTGACTTTTGACCTCATTGAATGTGCCATAGAATTACCAAGGTTCATATTCACTGCCACAGATAGTTTGTGCTAATTTCTATGCCACATTC